AAGGGAAGGGAAGGGAAAAGAGGAAAAGAAAAGAAATAGCTCCAAGGGCTGTCTAAAAGACAGGTTTCTGAGGAAGCTTTGTAAACTGGGTACTCTACAGTCTCTGATTCAAAAATTTGTGTTTAATTTGACGTTCTTTCTGTAATGGTAAGGGCGCCATTGTCTCTTGTGTGAGTTCAGTAGGAGCAAACAGCACCACAGCACATTTTAAATATGCTTTCATTTCTTCCTTCCTTCCTTCCTTCCTTCCTTCCTTCCTTCCTTCCTTTCTTTCTTTCTTTTTTAAAAAAAGAGTTAAAGTTCTTCAACCTAGAAATCCTTTTAAAAGGGAATAAATATCTCTGCCTTTTATGTCACAGAACTAAAGCAATTCTGTTCACTTAATACTTTGAAGTGAGGCCTTAGTGGTGTCAACTGCAGTCCCACTCCAAGAAATGCCTTGTGTCTGCTTGTTTGCTTAGAAGGAAGGAAGATTCATTTATTGTATTTTTATTAAGAAAGTAGGCAGTTTTTTCCACAATAAGATCAAAGGGATCAAAGACAAAGGCTCTTTGCACTCTCTGCCAAAGGCACATAGATGTGAGAGGATAGAATGTGTCCAAGAATAATAAAGTATGACATTTCATTCTAGTGTCATTCAGAGATTTCATCTCAGGCCCCCAAAGATGCACTGTGGAAGATATACTGCACCCTTTAAGACCCACCTCCATATTCTGTGCGAAGGGATCCTTAGGATCACACAGTGTTGAAGAAATTCGATGGTTGCCACGGAAACAACGCTGACTTATATTCTGGGGGACTGGAAATGTCTGCCGAATTATTGTTAGCCTTCCAATGGACCTTCTGACAAGTTCCTGGACATCCACATCATTTATTTCCTAAAAGATAAGAAGAGGAAGAATTAGAAGTTCTTAAATATAGTAGCGGAAATACAAAAGAATTGTCGACCAGTTATTTGGAGGTACAAAGGAATCTGTTTCCCTAACACATCCTCTTCATTTAGCTAGTATTCAGTGAAAGTTATGTGTATTCATCAAAATGGTGAATTCAGTCATATTTGCTTTCAGTTGCTTTACATTATGTAACTTGATGGCTCAACATATCTACACAGAACATGTGGCTTAAAGACGCTTTATTAAAAGCAATTTGATAACCAATTATGCTGAAAATATAAGAGAAAAATATTGAAAGTTCACAAAATAAGATTCAATTACATTTTTATGGTTCATTAAGAGCTTTCAATATATTTTGTGTACCAAGGAAGGAAGATATAATATAAGACACATCCTTGTTCTTAGTGATAAAAATTGGGGATTTTAAATGAACAAAGTAAAAGAAAGCAAAGGAGACACTATTTTAAAATGTTTTCTGATCGATGTCCATAAATGTTTCTTATTGGAAGGAGTTAACCAACTCAATAACTACTGATGAAAGAGTTAACTTTTGCTGTGGTTATTACATAAATATAAGGAGTTCTGTTTATTAGCATAAACCATGTCAATGAAATCTAGCACTATGTAAATGATACTGACTCTGTGTATGCATGCTTGCCAAACTCTAAGAAACTCATTCTATAATCCCGTCCCTTACAAGTCCTTATTCTGAAATTAGCTTTGAAGTTTAGGCTCAATAACAGATACAGAAATAATATAAAAGTGATAGTCTCATGGATATGTGTCTGCTTTACTTGTGATTAGAACCAAAGTGACAAACCTAAATTTTAGTATCCCAGCAGTCTTTCATAAAGCAGCTTGTGCTTCATCGGGCCCATTTGAAACCTTTTAAGCCAATAAAGCGTTTTGCGATGAACAGATTATTGGTGTGAACTGATTTCTATGCAATGAAAATGATTTGCCACGTGCATTCCTATGATTATATGCAAGAAATAAACCCTGCATGATGAAGAGAAAGTAGACCTCCAAGTAAGCGTTAATTTGTTTCATTTCTCTACCATGTTAATTACAAATTACCATACTTTGTGGCATATAGCCAGAAAACTCACCCCTTCTTTATGTTCTTTATGAAATATAGGTTTCTCTAAAAATAAAATACCACCTGCTATCAGCTGTATCCACAGTAACATCAGGAAGTTCTGGGCGATTAATCGTCAATGCACCATAAACAATGGCTTTCAGCAGCGTAAATGCGGTTTCACCTTAGTCTGTGTCATTTCACTGGCCATCTAAACTTTGTCTGGCAAAAGCCTAGTACTTTGAATTTTCCATTACCTGCTCACAAAGCAGAATTAAACAGTGTCCAGCCAATTCTATTTTAATACCTGATATTCATCTGAAATCTTTTAAAGTGAATTAATATCAACCTTGCTACTCAATATCTTTCAGTATTTTAAAATACTACATTGTACAGCCAGGAAGTTTCACCCAGAAGGTAGCAAATGACACACTGCTTTCTTTTTATGTTAATATGGGATTCTTCTTTCCTAATTAGATAACGATTTATCCAAATTTATCAAACAGGACCATCTTCATCTGATTCTCACAAAGTGATAAACTATAAGCTGGAATATTAAAGTCAAAATTTTTTAGATAAAAAATGCCCACTTTGCATCAAGCAAAATGCTAGTTAATTTATTTGGTTTCACCTTTTGTTTTAAAAAATGACATTGACTCACTGTTTATTAACACTTTACAAATAAAAAAAAAAACAGGAAGACTCAAAGGTATTCATTTGGATTATTTTTATTTGAGGAAGATTTTAGAAATATCATGAAAAAAATAAAGAAAATATTGTGTTCTAATTATATAAGAAGCTGAATTGCCTTAATAGAATCATATTGATTAATAGTCAAGAATGATGGCAATGAAAATAGTAAACACACATTATGTCAGTGTTTAGTGACTGATAGCGCTAAAGGAAAAGATCTGTCCCGAGACCTGTCCTAAGGTAAACCCTCTTACAGATCTGTCTTCAAACACAGAAAAGGCTGCTTACAACCCAAAAGTTCCATGAGATGAAGTTTTCAGTTATATCCTTCAATTAAGTTTAAAGGAATGTCAAGTTGAATATTTTGTCTGTTATTATTTGAGGAAGGAAAAATGAAAGTACTTTTCTGAGGGAAAAGAACTTGCCATTCTGAGGGAAATGAAAAGTTTCTCTCAAAAATTTTATTTGAAATTTTAGTTTTGACACTTGATCTTCAAACCTATTCAAGGTGGTGTGGCAACTTGATCAGGACAGGCTTCACATTGACAAGAATCTTATTTTGATCTCCAAAAGGTTCGCTCCAAGTGTGGCAGACAGGAAGGCGTATACACATTTAATGACAGCTGATCAGTTCATCTAAAACAGAAATTCCTTCAAAAACTTTTGAAAAAATTTTTTTCTGAAGTAAATGCTTGTATTAACATAGCAAACCATTGTGCAATCAGGGTCTACATTGCTATTTTTTAAAGTAATGTTTAAATTTAACGATTTTGAAAGGAATTCCATGAGGAACTAGTTTATAAAAAATGAACATTACTTGAGACCCCAGCACTATCAAATATACTAATTGATTTCTGTAAAAGGATACTGAAATATTTGTGTTTTAAGAGACTTTGAAGAGTCAGAATTCTAACATTGTCTTTGGAGTCTTCATTTGCATCTATTTATGAACATAGAATTAACACTATAATAAATACAAGTTTGTCTTGCATAGCTGATTTTTTTAATTTTACTTCTTTGAGAACAAAGCACAACACTGTTTTTCCAAAGAGTAATTATGAATAATTATACATTAGTAAGAGTTGAATTAACATATCCAACATTATATTAATTTACATTAATAGTTTAATGTAGACTGGACTCTGAACTGTGTAAGGGCCAATAGAGGAAAACACAAGGAATTATCTGGTAGGAAAACAGAAACACCCACTGTCCTCCAAAAGTCCTTTAGAATTCACTCATTCTTGAAATCCTGAAACAGGTCAACTTCAGGTTGAAAAAAAGAGAAATTGGGAGGACAAAAAGACTTTCAAGATCTATTAAATCATTTGATAGCCTGAAGTATATTTTTCAGAAAAAAGTTTGTTGTTTCTTTTTCTCATGTGTTCCCTCTTTCTTTCATGTCTTTGCATCTAATGAAGTTCCTGGATCACAGGAAGTATTTAGTAAGTATTGGGAAACTGAAATTTTACTATATGAACCAATCACAGGGTTTTACTAAACTATCCTTTTAAAGAATCAGTAGCTGAAAGTTTAGTATTAGATGCTTACAATGCACTGAAAATGATAAATAATTCTGACACAGTAAATTTCAGTAATGAGATGTTGTAGTCTGCTATGCTGTAGCTTTAAAAGATGTTTTTCTGATATGTTTGTTTCATCCTGCTGTGGTAGAGTTGACCCTGTGACATTTCAAGAAAATCCAACACTAACATCAAATAATTTTGCAAACACTACATTGGAATCTGAAATAAAATTAGGAGGAACAGGAACAGAATAATAATTTTCTTCTTGGTTGATAATTAATATAGAAGTCAATCCGTAAAACTAAGAAAATGCAAAATATTTACTAAATGTCAAAGTGAGAATATAAATCTTCAAATTAAAGACTTCTTCCATAACTGCAGTTCTCATGGACTCACAGAGAATAGTGACTTTAAACTTATTTTAAGTCATTGGAATGACATGAAGCACTGAAGGTCAGAATCAGCATCACCAGGAACAGGAGCTAGAAGCATTGTTAGTGAACCAGATGAGCTTCCAATCTAAGTTCTGGCTTTTGTAAAACAAATAAAGCACCAAGTCATTTGCTTTAGGGCCCTAAAGGGATGTTACTATTGATACAGAAGTCTTTTGTGAGACAGTTCCACTGAGCATGGGGAGACTAGAAACACCATCACCAAACCCTGACTTGATTGATTACTCCCTGTGAGCTGTACAGCCTCTCATTAGTACAGTGTACTTGATGCAAATTAAAATGAAATAAATTGTTTTTCAAGTTTCTACAACTTGTGCCATAATGCATAATGTCAACTTTGATTTATAATCCCTCTCTATAAAACGATTGGTGCAATAAGATTAAATAAATTTTTCCAACCCATTTTAAAATTAGCTACTAAATTATAGTTATGCAAAGTGAAGTAGACAAAAATCACTTTCTTCTTGTTCAGTCAAACGGGCATTAACATGTCTGTGAGGATTTTGTTAGTCTGCAAGATATGCAGCTTTGTAACAAATTTGAAAAATCCATGATTTTCCCCTTTATTGAAATAGAAATAAATCATCATTCTTCTATTAATTTTAATAAGCATGGAAATGGTAAAACAAACAAACAAACAAACAAACAAACATGCTAGAAAAGGATGCGGTTCAAATTTCCTAAAGTTGACTTTAAGAGAATAAGGTAGCTAAGTGGAACTGGATAGAAAGAGAGAACTGACCTTGGATATACTGGCTGATAATACTTTTCCTTGCAAACAAGTTCATTCTTTGTGCTTCTGTTTGGTTCAGATAAAAGCAGTAGCTGATGTAAATGGCACGGGCTGTGGACATTTTATTTTTGTTCTAAACAGTATTGACTTGCTAGAGAGAAATGGCACTTTTGCCAAGGACTGAAAAAGTATGACCAGTAGTAAAACACACTAAACGGTTTCAAGCCAGTGGTGATGAAGCTATCCTAGCAAGCAATCACAGCGAAGTCTTCAGGTTGAGAAAAGAATTGAGAGTTTCTATCACCTTCTTTTCTTCTGGGATTTTTGTTTGTTTGTTTGTTTGTTTGTTTGTTTTGAGGCAGGGTTTCTCTGCGTAGCCCTGGCTGTCTTGGAACTCACTCTGTAGAGCAGGCTGGCCTTAACCTCAGAAACCCACCTGCCTCCATCTTCCAGGTCTGGAATTAAAGGTGTGCACCACCACTGCACAGCTTTCTATCACCTTCTGTAGTGCTAACATTGAGTGAGTGGTTGACAAGTTAAATTGCTTTGTTTATTGGATAGTTTCTTTTGCAACACTGTAGCTAAGATATTATCAAGGAAATACACATGAGTCTACTACTTCTCAATAATAATACTTATAATATGAAGATTGTGAAGTGGACCTTTCCCCTGAAGTTCTAGTTGACCTTGAAAGGTAGAGAAACACCCTTTCATCCTCTTTTTGTTGCTTTACTCTAGTTTGCTTTCAGGATTCAAGTACTACTCTAGGAGCAAAGTTGAAGACTGAAAAAGAAATAATGTAAGGGTTCCTTCTGCAGCCTTACCAAAAGATAGGAGAAAATGACCTTCCATTTAAAAGACTGTATTTATTTGTTTGATCACCCACTAAGAAGGCAAGAAGCCCCCCCTTTTTTTTCTAGACTGCTTTGTGGACACAAGTGTTTCTAGACTGCTTTGTGTACACAAAGTTTACTCTGAACTAAAAAGACTGAAGCCTATGGGAGAAACATTTGTATTTTACTTTTCCATTTGGAAAGGAAAAACATTTATCTTCTATAGACTTTCAGACCCACACTCTAATAGTCAATTAAGTAACAAGACAATGACAGTGAGGTGTAACAAACAAAGATGTCTACTGTGGTGACAGCTTTTGAGTCATTCCTCAGGCTTTGTAAGGCTAGAACCTCATTGAATTCTGTTAATAAACCCCAGGCCAGAAGATATGTATTTTACAGGAAGGTTGAAGTGTTAAGTCCACAGTAAACACCAGGACCCGAGATTACAGGACTACTACAGGAGAATTCTGGTGGTTAGGTAAGTCCATGTCCCTTAGGAACTTGCCAATCTACAAAATGGAGCCATTTCCCTTATTACTAGAAGAAGGGGCAAATGGCTACCTGTGGTGCTTATTAGCATATTGAAGTACACGCTGGCCTCCAGGCTTCCTCAGCATCAAAAGTACTTGTTATACATTTCAAAGCAAAGAGCCTTACCAAACTAAGACAGAAGTATGTTGCTTTTGATAATGCATGTAAGGAAGGAATTCTTGTCAGAACGACAGGCTCAGTTTTGTTTATGAAATAAAAGGATGGGGAGGCAGAGAACTTTTGGGGCTGCTTGGCAAGAATCTGACATGGGCCAAGGACAAGGAAATGGGCTCCTTGGCAGGAATATGACATTGGCCAAGGACACGGAAGTGGGTTTCAGGCAGGAATCAGACACTAGGGTAGAACAATGAAGTAATTTCAGACAGGAATCTAAATCTTAGGCTAGAGCAAAGAAAGAATTTCAGGCAAGAATCTAATATTAGGCTAGAACAAGGAAGTAATTTCAAACTGGAATCTAAATCTTAGGCTAGAATAAGGAAGTAGGCTTCAGACATGAAAATGACCTTGGGCTAGGACAGGGAAGTAGGCTCAGATACTTTGGTCATCCTGATAAGCCCTTAGAAACAGTGATCATGGGAGTGTTCATGGAATTCTGTTTATTGTCTTGCTTGTTCCTTGAATATTTGCATCTATTGTATTGCTAGTTCCTCAAACTAGAAGTGACCTTAATATTTGCATGGAATTAAAATGGTATAAAAGCAAAAAGGAGGAGAGGGGATGGGATAGGGGTTTCTACGGAGGGGAAATGGGGAAAGGGGATGGCATCTGAAATGTAAATAAGTAAAATAGCCAATTAAAAAAGAAAAGTCCATGCTAGTAGCCTAGCTTTTCCCAACTTCTTCTTACCCTAAACTCCCTTCAGCTCAGTGGCTTCCCTTCCTACAGCTACTCATTCTCCTTTTAAACCTGCGATTTCTCAAACTGTCTTCATTTCTCTTCTGTCTGTATGTTTTTGTCTGTCTCTGTCTCTGTGTCTCCTCATCTCTCTCTATCTCTCTTTCTGTTTCCCCCTCATGCTTTTTCCTCTCCTCCCTTCCTCTCTCTCTTCTTTTCTGACAGATCTAGTCTGCTCGCTATGTTTAGTACACATTCTTTCTCTGCTCTGGACTCTTACAAATGTCTCTGGTTATTCTATCTCTCATACCCACTACAGTAAAAACTTTTCCCTTAACCTTACCATGAAGAAGTCATGTTGTCAGTTTATATAATAAGTACATTGTAACAAATAAGCATCCAAGGTAAAATCTATTTTATTTGTTTTCTTGGCTGCCAAACCACAATTTTTATTCAAAATGCTTTGTTGTCTCTAAAACAACTTCATCATTCTATAATTCCCAAGAGCAGTATTGGTACGTAAGTGATTCACTATCTATTTATAAATTGTAGGCAGAGTTGGACAACATCTCATCCCCAGGTCATATCATGCTGCAAGGTACTGTCACCTGTCTGTCCACAGCTGGTCTGTTGCTGTTTTTGCTGATCTTGACTGACAAATACTAAGGCAATAACTTTTTCAGATTGCAACACACTCTCAACTCTTTTTTATTACCTTTGCAAAATATTAGGAAAAGAATCTAAAGAAATTTGACAGTCTTTGTATTTTTAAAACAATAGCATTTCATTGTGAAAAAAAAGACCCTTGTTCTTTGTTGATTCATGTTCCTATGTTGAACCATTAAATTCTCAAGTAGGAAGACAGATATGAAAGTTTTAAAAGAAAGACATTAAAATACAAATGGAACACAGACTCTCCCTTGAGAGATTCACATTGGTTACAAAGAACTGAACTTTTCGTATAGATAATGTCTCTTAAGCAGGCAGTGTGAGCAACTGGAAAAGCTAAAAGACAGACTCTCAGTGGGAAGGTTTTCTCCCCTTTTATAATTCAGATAAAAACTTGTTTCTGTTTTTATTAGAGAGCATTCATGCAGTACACTGAGCTTTTGCTTCCCGTTCTGCTCCCTCTTAGATGTGAGGGCCTTCAGAGACTCCATGTGTGAAAAGGTGGCAGTTGATAGGGGAGGCGTTGTGGGCTTTACCTCATTTATGATGATCCAGTGACAGTCAAAAGCAACCAGATTAGTCTCCACCACCTAGAAGAGAAAACAAGCAAGTCATCAGCATTAATCACGAAGATGGAAGATGGAGCCACTCTAAAGGGATCCACTCCATTAGTGGACCAAACACTGCTTGAAAAGTCTTGGATCCGTTACAGATGGAACACTCTCAGCAAAGCAGTGTAGACACAGCAGTGTTGACTGGCAGACACTGGAGACATGCTAAATAAGTGTGGAAACCGCATCCATCAAGGATAGAAAAATGCACATTTAAAAAAGAAAAACATTTAAACCATAAAGGTTTTAGATTTAACAGATTTCAAATCTCATATCATATTCCTTGTTCTAATACATTTCACTGCTATTATATGTGTAATAAATATCTAAGTAGTACTACAATCTCATTCAATCACAAGTTATTTTTTATCGTCTCAGTGTGTATATTACTGTTTCGACTGAATTCTATTGTGAAAAATGGTTTTGTTGCATGCATTTGAAGTAGATTCAGTTCTAACGTTAAACTGTAAAATAGACAAAACAATTTATATCGCATTCACTATGTTATATATAAAACATACAAATGAATAAATATGTTAGGCAATAATCTTTTTTTTGAGACAGGATCTCACTATGTGTCCTTTAGTCCTTGCTGCTGATGCAGAGCACATGATATAAACCTGTCCTTGGACTCACACACATTTTGCCTTTGTTCCCCAAGTGATGAGATTAAGGGTGTGGACCACCATGCCTGGTAGGGTAGCAATCTTGACTGATCAACTTTAAATATTTGGCATAGGCCAAAAGTAAGCTTATCTCAGCATATTTTTGTATGTATCTCTCTCTCTCTGTGTGTGTGTGTGTGTTTATATGTCTGTATGCATGTTTCTGATTGTGTATACTTTTGTATATGTGTGTGTCTACATATATAGCTGCTGCCTTTGTAACAAGGTTTTCACTATACAGATTATTACACATTTTCTAAGAACATGTTCTTGCAGTTCATGCAAAGAGCATATAACTAGTGAGGCTTCTGTGTAATAAATTATTACTGTATTTTTAGTGGTGGTATTTATAGACTAGATTTCATCTCAAGCGTAAATGTTTTCCATGATGAACTACCAAGGATGTTTCAAAGTGTAAACTGGATTTGGGGGTTGTCCTTTGTCCTGTGGAGAAACATTGATTCAAATGTGTATTGAATAAAAAGAAATGTAGTTGTATTCACATTTGTTATACTGTTAGAATTTTTTCAATTCAAATATATAATTATTTTACTTATTTTTAATATTGATATGTCATACTATTTCAATTTATTTTATTTCAATATGTCATCTGAATCCCATGTATTTGCTGAATAATACAAATTGCAAATACTGAAGAAAATGAAGACTTCTTTTTACTTTCAGGTTTATCATTATTGTTTTTAGGATATAAACATAGTCACAGGTGAAATTTAAAAATACTAAAGATTTATTCATTTTATGTATGTGATGAGTAAACTGTCGCTCTCTTCAGACATCCCAGAAGAGGGCATCAAATCCCATTACATATGGTTGTGAGCCAACATGCGGTTGCTAGAAATTGAACTCAGGACCTCTGTAAGAGCAGTCAGTGTTCTTAACCACTGAGTCATCTCTCCAGAATCTAGATAAAATTTTTATTGAGAATATCACATGGAATGATATCCAGTCTTAACTATAGAAAAAATACTTTAAAGTTTATATCAGTAATAGCAAAGATTTTTTTAATTTTTAATTTTCTTCATTAATATTTATAGAGGAGTATCAATGATTTAATAACCATAAAAAACCATTAGAAAATACATTGAAATACCATCAGAATTTAAAAAGATATAAAGCCAACATTTTGGGTGTTAGAAAAAACTATCACAGTATAAAATGGCAAAATGCTTGTACGTATGGGGAAAACCTGAAACTTAAAATATGGGTTAGAAAGATGTTAAGGCCAAGTCACAGGTAGTACAGACTTCTAAGTAATATCAGTGGCATGACAGAAAATGTAATTTAGGTAAAATTGCCCATCTTATAATAATCTGTGCCATGTGGACAGGTTAAGAAAATCCAAGGGAAAAAAAAACCAAGGAGGAGAACTCTACATTGTATATAGATATTGTTAAAAAATATTTTATTGCAGAACTGAGGGACTACTAAATGATAGCATAAACAGTTTGTGAAGAAAGTGAAAGTAATATTTTACACCATGGTTTGAAATAAACAGAACACAAAACAGTAAGTAGCTTCCACAAAGAACAAAGGCAAGCATAGCATCCCAGACCATGATGCAAGCATCTTAACTCAGACCCAGTCATCTCATCTCAGACTTTGATCCAAGTATTCATCCCAGACTATGATATAGCTCTCCCAGACCATGAGGCAAGAATCTCATCCTAGACTATGATGTAGTCCATGTTCCTCATACAAAAGGAGAGAAGAACTCTGCTGTACTCTCCTCTCCTCCCCACAATCAGGAATATTACAATACAGAATCATTTTAGCAGTATTAATTTGAAACAAGGAAAAAGTTATTAGCATTTACTGCAGATAACTAATCAGTCTCTCTTTCTCATAGGTGTGACCCTCTGTTTGAGTATGTTGGATTATTCCATCCATGTGCTTCATGTACTATAGAAGACCATGTCGTTTAACCTCTCTTTCTAGCTTTCAAATTGGCAAGTCCTCTACTGTTTCCCTGTGATGCTGATTTAAATTCACTAGTTCCATATTTTTTTCTTTAAAGCCATATCTTGATTCCAGCCCAGATAATGTGAGCAGAAGTGGTGCAGGACACTTCCAAACCTGTGTGCCTGTGCCTGCATACTAATGTCTGTGTGTTTCTGAACACTTGCTTGTGCTTGCTCACTATACCTTGTAGCATGTGGATACTGTGTCATGCCCAGGAATACTTAGAAAGTCACATTGTCTCTGGCACAGAAAATAACTTTTCTTCACATTTCCTGCTGTCACACTGAGGTAATATGAGACATTATATTTTGGGTCTACTTTTTACAGTAATTCAGCATCTCTTGTCTAAAGTAAAACATTGATACTAATACCTGGCTTGTACTTTTTTACAACCTCAAATTTTAATTAACATAATTACTAACATAACTGGAGCTTCTGTGACTTGATAAAGACTTGATTTGAAAATTACAGGTTGTATGCTGGGCATTTTAGTGGATATTAAATATTTGAGATTTCCTTCTACAAGTACATTTTTCTTTGTAGAAAGAAATCAATTGCTATTAGAATGATACTTAGTAATAAAACGACAGAGATGCCCTGTCCCTTTAATCATATAATAAAGGATATTTATACATATAAATCCATGAAATACTGAAGTGCCATATTTCAAAGAAGCAATTTAAAAAGCTATAATACATACAAAAAGTTATCTGGAGAAATGTCCACTAAAGGAGGAATAGGATTCCTTTAGGTCAATGTTAATTTGTTCATGAATTAATAATAAGATCACATGGATTCTTGGATACTTTTGACCTTAATGTTACTGAAAGAAGGCAATATTTTAAACTGATTATAAATACAGAAACATAGTTTGGAAAGGGGCATAAAAAGTGTGGAGGTCAAGAGTCTGGACCTTAGGACCTTGAATGATGACCTGAATTATAGAAGAAGGCACAGCTGGCCATGCTATCACAGAGGCTGAAACCCACCAGTGAGTTAAAGGAGAAGCAGGGTATCCTTCTCACAGATTAGCAGCCTCACATGGCAATACTCATTCTTAAGGAAGACACATTTAAAAACAAGCAACTTTGGCGCTAATTGTCCCTAAGGAACAACAAATGACCACTGGATATCCACATTGGTTTACCTGATAATTTAAATACGTTTAATAATATTGTTCCGTTTCCATGTAATATCACTTAAGTTCCAGCAATGCTGTGAAACTAGGTGGCATTGCCAAGTTAAAGGACAAAATTCTAGATTTTAAGACAGTACTATTTTAATTATTTCTGGGCATCCTAGAATTTCTAAAGTCTTTGTATTTATTCCTATAGTCATAATAAAATTCATTTAAGAACGAATTTTTTTCTCCAATGATATATTCTCATTATCAACTTGACTGGATTTAGAATTACCATGGAAACACATTCCAGGTATATCTATGAGATTGTTTCCCAAAAGGCTAAACTTAGCTGGAAAGACCTGCTATGAATCCATGCAACACCATCCCATAGGGTGGGGACATAGAATTTTATGCCTCCCCTAAGAGATTCCATGCTTTAAAAATAAATATAAAGCTATACTGATCTAAATACATAATGGGAGTCCAGGGAGACAGTACAGAAGTGAAGAGTATGTGCTGCCACCAGTGAGCACTCACATGACAACTAACTGCTTTAATCCCAGTGCAAGGGATCTGATGCCCCTCTGGCTCCCGCAGGCACCAGGCTTCAGCAATGCTGTCCCCTCCCAGGAGCACTTCTGCTTCCTGACATCCGATACATCCTCATTGGCTGCCATGCTTCCTCCACTCTGGTTTCTTTTCAAAGTGGACTGTGTTGTTTTTTAAACTCTGCATGAAAATAAAACCCTGCTCCATTAAGTACTTTTTGTCAAATTTTTGTTCTGTTTTGTTTCATTTAGAACTAGAAAAGTATACATCTTTTCTCATCTTTCTTACTTAAATAGCACAGCTCACACTTTACTGGAATTGGATTGAAATTCCCCTTCTCACATACTGGCTTTTTAAAAAAAAAATAATAGAACTTCTCTCATATCCAGGCACATTACTGCTACAATTCTCAGGGCTTATTGTGTGGATTATTAGTAACTTCAAGTTGTGCTTTTTAAACAAAACATCAAAAAATCTGAGGTCATAATAAAATAGGAAAGTAGCCATAATTCAGTAATAGCATTTATTACCATGATGACTCAGAAAAGGTGCCTAAAAGACTACAACCCTTCTGGACAACCCAGAGCAAACAGCAAGCTGTAAGGGAAAAGGCAAAACGGAGCAAAGCTATCCAGCAGGAACAGCAACTGAACTCAACAGAG